CCTCTGCCCCGCGGGGCCCGGCCGCGCCAAGCACTCACCTCGGCCGGGCTGCGCTCCCCGCGGGCCTGCGCCGAGCCCGATAAATGGTATGCTATGACTAGAGGTATGATTACGTTATTATTATTAGTAATAATAAGAGTAAATGCTATTTAATTACGGGCGGCCGCATCCTGCTCCCGGCGCCGCCGCCCCGGCAGCTCCGTCCACGCGGCCCCGGAGCGCTTGACTTTCATCTCCAGCCCCCTCGGCCAGCCGCGCGCGGCTGCACCCGCTGGAGGCTCGGTCGCCTGCAGCTCTTCCGCCTCGGTCCTAGAGCGCGCGGCTCCCCTCGCCTCGCCGCGCCCGGGGTGGGCGGTGCGGGCGGCGCACCTGGGAGCGGGGTGGGGGCGTCGGGGAATGCCCCTTCCCCGTGGGAAGCTCATGCCTGGAATCCACCTTCAGTTTCTTTCAAAGTGTCCTCCCTTCCTATGAAGGGGTCTTCTTTTGGCAAGTCTGCCTTTCTGGGCTGACGCTGGTCAAACCCATCTGGGTACAGGTGCTTTCATGGAAGGCTCCCCAAAACCCTTGTCGCGTGCGCTTTTCGCAGATGAGGACCGAAAGCTCAGTAAGGAATCAGGATCTAACTTGGTCGGGGTCTTATGTATGGGATTTTAAAGAAAAAATGATTCAATGACACTTGTTAGAGACGGGCAGGCAGACTTTGGGGCGGGGGCATGAAGGTAAGTGTAGGAACCATTGCAGTGGGGCAGTGGGGAGAGAGATTGGGCTCGACTTGGCATTCATCATGCGCAACCAGGAATTCATAACCAAGGAGTAGGGGCGGGGGGTGTCCGTGGGTAGAAAATTACTAAATTATTTTCAGGGGTTAGGGGGATTCTGTCCTAACCTACCTAACAAGATTCATCACTTGGGGGATGGTGGGGTGGAGGATGAGGAACCCGATTACATGTTGATGATGATCAGATATGGACTATGCGGGATTCTAGACAAACCAACTTAGCAGGGTTCTTGCTAAAACTGGACAATGTAGAAATGAATAGGCAAGTCCAAAAATCGAGGTCTAGTTGAAAAGTTTAGGGGAGCCTAAATAAAGTTCAGTCAAGGATAGAATTTTTTTTTTTTTTTTTTTTTTTAAGATGACCGGTAAGGGGATCTTAACCCTTGACTTGGTGTTGTCAGCACCACGCTCACCCAGTGAGCTAACCGGCCATCGCTATATAGGATCGGAACCCGTGGCCTTGGTGTTGTCAGCACCACACTCTCCCAAGTCAGCCACTGGCTGGCCCTCTAAGGATAGAATTTTTGTCAGGGATCTTTCCAGAAGGGATTTGAGGCTGCTTAGAAGATCTGCTATTTAAGGGGAAATTAACCAGACAGGCCGGCTGTAAGCATCCATGGCATTGCTGGATTTGAATCCAGAGCTTCTGATTCCAAACAGCGTTCATCCCACCATACCACTACTTGCCACATTGATTCTGGAGGACTCCCACATTTCCATGAGAGTTCTCCCAAATTTCTCCCTTTCTTCCTCTTCACTTTACACACATATACACATTTATTGTGGATCAGCTGTGAGCTGGGCAGACTTTATCTTTACAAATGTTGTCTCCTCGAGGCTGGCCAGTTAGCTCAGTTGGTTAGAGGGCAGTATTATGATGCAAGGGCAAGGGTTGGGATCCCTGCACTGGCCAGATGCCAAAGGAAAAAAAAAAAAAGAAAAAGAAAAAGAAACAATTGTTATCTCTTGTGCCAGATACAATCTTAGAACTGGAGATACAGCAGTGAGACAAATTTAAAACATTTAAATACACTGTAGTAATGTAGTAAGCGCTAAGAGGGACAAGAACCTCGGGCTGTGTTTAAAGACTTGAAAGGAGAATGAAATGCATCTACCCCTTCAGGAGTTCTCAAACTCTTCCTTCTGTGGGTGCCTTCTCACTTCTTGCTACTCTTAAATTAACAAAAAGACAACCTCTGGCATGAAGTGGATGAACATTTATGTCTAGAAACAAAAGCGGAGTCTAGTGCTCCAGAAGGTCTTCAAAAACTTCTTGGAAAGATTCATATTATCTTTGAATTCCATTTTTTTATTTTTTAATAAAGATGACCGGTAAGGGGATCTCAACCCTTGACTTGGTGTTGTCAGCACCACGCTCAGCCAGTGAGCGAACCGGCCATCCCTATATGGGATCCGAACCCGGGGCCTTGGTGTTATCAGCACCGCACTCTCCCGAGTGAGCCACGGGCCGGCCCTGAATTCCATTTTTTCCACGAGCTTTTAGATGATTATTCCACTCTCATAGATGTTTAGTAGTAAATCAACCCCTGCATCGCCTGGGATAGACTCAAGATCATGGGCTTAAGGCAGTGTCACGCTGAGCCTGGCGATTTCAGGAGGCTGGGTGGTGTGGTAGGGGTGTCGCTGAGGTGGCATTAGGAAGACCAAGGTCCCCAGCTCTGCCACTTGCTGTCTGTGTGACCCTGGGCAATTTCACAGCATCAGTTTCTTCATTTGTAAAATAAGGGTAAGAACACCAAGTCAACATAAAGTTTGTTTCAAGGATTACAATGAAACAATGCCTGTGAAGCACGTAGTACAGTGTCCAGCCCACAGTGAGGGCTCAATCAATGTTGGTTCTCTCACCCCGTGTACAATTTACAGTGAAACACTCTTGACAACTCCTCACATCAGGCACCAGGGTTATTATCATTCCCATTTTATGGATGAGGATGCTGAGGCCAGGTGAATGACTGCACCTTGCCTCAAATGAACTAGCTGGCAAGTGGTCTGGTGATTCCTCCATCCCAGACTGCTGGTGAAATAACATATCCTTAAAAGAGGACTGTCCATCATTCAAGAAGGGTTCAACTGGATACCAGCCCCCCATGTCTTCAATGTTGCATCAACAAGTTAAACTGTTTGGGGAGCCTGGGATGGTATTATTTATTATAAAACTTGTTATTTATTATAAAACTCCAACTAGAGGTGGGGGTGCTTTTGGAGGGCCAGGAGGCTGGCACCAGTAGGTTGTTTTCTGGGAAGCCCCGAAGTTGTCAGGCAGCAGTGCTGTATGTCCCCATATTAAAGCTGAAATAGTAACAGCCACCACTTCTCGTTTACTATGAGCCAAAAACTTTACATATGTTGATTATCTTACCCTCTCAAAAACTCTGTAAGGTAGAGATTGTTTTTAAACATTTTCAGGTGAAAAACAGACACAAAGCTGTTAAGTGACTTGGTCAACATCACACAGCTAAGAAAGAGGCAGACTGTATTTAGTCCCAGGCTTGTCCACCCATAAAGCATGACCATTGCACCATGACGTGGATCTTTTTTTTTTTTTTTTTTTTAAAAATGACCGGTAAGGGGATCTTAACCCTTGACTTGGTGTTGTCAGCACNCACTCTCCCGAGTGAGCCACGGGCCGGCCCCATGATGTGGATCTTAAATCTGGATCTGCCTCTAGTTACCCTCAAGAGCTTATTATGTGAATAGGTCACTGGAGATTCTGTTTCTCTGGAGGATCCTGACTGATACTTGTACCCGGTCGCTAGGAGGATTAAGTGACTTATTACATGCAAAGCATTGATATAAGTGTGATTGTTAATTTAAAATACATTCTCTGGGGCCCAGTCCATAGAATTCAGATTCTCAAAGGTGAGGGTGACATAAAAAAGAGAGAGGGAGGATCCAGGAGCCTTGAAGGTGAGATAAGCTAGCCACCACACAACTATAATACAATAGATGAAATGCAGGCGATAAAACATGGTCACTTTTGTCCCCAGCATGTTATTATGAAAATGTTCAAACACACAGAAAGGTGAAAAAATTACACAGTGAATACCCATGTGCCCTGGATTGTTCTACCATTGTTAACAGTTTCCTGTATATGCTTTATCACATATTCATCCATCCATTCATCAATCCACATGACATTTTTGTTAAAAAAAAAAACAAACCGGTAGTTTTATTTATTTATTTGCCCTTTTTTGAGACCGGCTGCACAGCGCTCAGCCAGTGAGTGCCC